TTTCCCTCTCTCGTTCTCGTTCTCTTTCCCGTTCCCGTTCTCTTTCCCGGTCTCTGCTTTTTTCTCTGAAGGAAGGAAGGAAGGAAAAAGTCCAAAGTTAAGTATAGAGCCTTCCTCTCCACTCAATCAAATGATTTAACTTCAAATGCATAGTGCACTATTTAGAGCATCTTGCAAGTTACTCTCATTCTGCAATTGTTACAAGATGATTAACTGATATAGCAATGGGCACCAGACAATACTTCTAATATATTCAAAACCCCATTTACGTAAAAGTAGCTCTTTGAGCACTAACCATTAACTAGTGGTATCTACAGAAACTAAGCGTGAGCACATGGCAATTCTTATCAGATCACATTAGTAGTTCTTCATAAATAAGTGACAGCTGAAAACCCCACAAATAAAGAGTATGCTTAATTAATCCTTCACGTTTACATGGCTTACAGTCAACTTGAACCCTACTGAAAAGATGATTCAAAGTGAAAAAGCTATTTTTTTTTCTGTCATGAAGAGGGAAAAAGCAGCACCTAGAGCCTGATATGATTATTTACAGTTTAAGACTGAAAGAGGAATCCCCTTGCTTTCATTAAAAAAAAAACGCAAACCCACAACCAACCAAAAAACTCAACCATACCAAAGGAAAAGGTAAAACCTACTTAAGGTACAAGATACAGCAGACATAAGAGAACCTCAAGTAGGAATAAAATGAATCCATGAAAAAAAGAAGAGATTTGAGATAAAGCCAGTATGCTTAAGGTATGGTTGGGTGGTTGCTTACTGCACGTTACAGTCCTTATATTGCTGTGCTGTGGAGGAAAGCAAGTATTTTTCCTATTTCTGTAAATACAAATTTTCTAAAATTTTGATTTCTTGTTTCCACTCGTCTCTTCCAAAAGGACCATTCTCTTTTGAACGGCAGCTGATCTGCTGAACTATATGCACTTAGTAAACAACACTAAGAAAAACTGAAATAAAAAGCAACTCAAGTGCATTTACCTTGATCTGCTCCGATCCTTGTTGCGATCTGAACTCCTTTCACGATCTCTGTCACGATCTCGGTCTCGTTCGCGGTCTCTGTCTCGGTCCTTAGTTCGGTCACGATCCCTATCTCGTTCTCGTTCACGCTCCCGTTCCTTCTCCTTCTCTCGTTCACGCTCCCTTTCTCTTTCACGCTCCCTCCTTTCTCGTTCACGTTCCCGTTCCCTTTCTCTTTCTCTGCGTTCTTTTTCAATTTCCTGTCTTTCTTTCTCCTTTTTGCCTTTTTCCTCCTCCAGTTTCTAAAAACCAACAAGAGAACTTTCATAGTTAATTTTGTAGTTACAGGAACTGGATATTCCCGGCGCAACACACAAGGCTGGTAATGGAAATACCAAAACCGCCACTGATTTTAAAATATTAAATAGGGTTTGGTGGGTATTTTTTGGAACTCATAAGTATGAAATCAAAATGCAGCAATCACAAGACTAAGTTTCGTGCAAAAGCATAGATCTACACAGACCAGCAATCTCCAACCTTAGCAGAGCAGGGCTGGCCTTGTATTACAAGATGACCAAACTGCACACAGTGCACTGCCAGTCATGATTCAGGTGGGCCACAAATTCCATTGGCCCTATAAGCCACTTGGGTGCAAGCAAAGTGAACTTCTAGCCGATAAAATTAATTCTGTTCAACTAGGAAAATATATTTCAGTGGAATGCTTACTGGGATAGTAAGTTGTTTCCCAAAAAGTCTTGGCAGACCAAAACCAACCTATATGAAAACTTGGGTAAAGAAATTTATCCACTTACACGTGGTGCATGTGGTTAAACAGTGAAGAGAGCTGCAACCTTTCCCCTTTCCCTCCCTAAAAAAGTTCTAACAGTTCATTGGTAAGAACTGGACTCTGCAGAATGGAATCCTTAACTTCCACCACTGCAAGATGGAGAGAGTTAAAAAAAGGTTGGAAATAGCTCTTTTGAAACACAGAAACTAAAGGGTTACCTGCTACAGTTTTACTAAAAATTGTACAAAATTGCCACTTTTTTTTCAATTAGAAACAGTTCCTATGACCAGAATTCCTACAAGACAATAGAAAATACATCAACAGAATGATAGATAAATCCATCCTTGGAAGCAATTGTTATATGTTAACTTACAGATGCTGTGCTAGGACATGGACCGCCAACACTGGATTAACCTTGCCTATAAGCTATGTTTCTGGGAGGAAGAGCAAGTACACGGTTCACAAATATACCAAATAACAACCAAATATACCAAATTTCAACCTGATGGATGCCAGAATACCACTTTTTTGAACAAATATTGAGCAGAATAAACAGGTTTATCCCCTTTGGCTCCACGTTTACCATCACTGAAATGAAATTAAAAACTGGAACAATGAAACAGCATTTTCTCTGTTGGTTTTTTTTTTTTCTTTTCTTTTAAACAAAGCATTTAAGACAACTTTAAAAAGCAATCTTACCTGATAAGTGTTCTTCTGCCATAGGCACAGGGACCAGAGAACCGACAAAGGATTACAGAAATAAGGCTAATTCACTAGTGATTAATGTATCCAGTGAAACTACGCTGCATTGATAGCACAATACAGGCAAACCAATGTTGGATACATTGAAATCACAAAAGGAAAAAGGGACTAAAAATGGTAGGAACTGGTAGAAAACTGATATGAAAAAACAAAACTTAGATTCTACAATATACACTGGGCTGAAAACCAATTTCTGAAGGACTGTATTTTACAGGGGCTTTAGAGTGTTAAACCTCAGTACGGTCAGATGTTAAAACTAGGTTGTCAACTTTTAAAAATCCAACTTACCTCAAATTTCATATACTATTAAAGAAAAGTTTACATACTGAAGTGGTTGATACTTACAGGTTATCTTAGATGTTCCAATAGAAATTTCTTTGGTTGTACTCCTGCTTTTTTTGCCACTCTCAGAAACTTTATTCATCACGAGAAAATGATTTCTCAAGAGAGTGGGTTTCTTTTTTTTTTTCTTTTTTCTTTTTTTTTTAATAGTCACACACATGTAAACATACACACACAAGTCCTGGTGTATTAAAATCCATTTTGTACGTCTGCTTCCTTAAAATCCAATTGAAAAAATAAATGGGTCTATTTTGTAATCAAAATCTGACCTCATGAACTTCTATCAGCCTAAATAAGAGGATCTGAAAGGGTAATGGGATGGAAACGGTATCAGATATATTGAAGTAATGAACAGAAATGAACAGGTAGAAGAATTATAAATCTTACCTCCAGCTCTCTTCAGACTCGTCCGTGCTGTAAATGGACGCCCCCTGCAATGCTGATACCCTCACAGTCTGTGGTTATTTTTTTATAAACTCATACCAAAAACATGCAAAGGTTCACTGTGCTCACTAGCCAGCTGCTAAAGATTCAACAGCCCCTTTTAAACATATCCAATATACACAATGACTACTTTCAGTTGATTTTTTAACGTTAAGAAACCCAAAATAGACACCCCAATAATAGAGATTAAAGGCAGTAAAATGCCCAACAGCTTCTGAAACAACGAAGCTGTTTTTTGGTTTTGTTGTTGTTGTTTTTTTCTTTTTTTTTTTTTTTTTTTTTTTAACAACTTATTCCTTGTTTGCATCTTAGTACCAGTGACGACTTGGGGCTCGGAATTGAACATAATTCTACTGGTTTCACCACTGACCGGTTTCATGTTCAGTTGCTGAGCTTCTCCAGATGATTTCTTCTAGAATTTTTCCCCAGGTTTCTACCTCCAACAACTTCCGTCAAGAGCAAAACTGAATATGTGTACATACAACAACGTGTAGTCACTTGTGTTTAAATTGATACAGTTGCGTGAAAACATGGTACCATCCCCAGTGACTGCATGTGGTAAAGCTGAATAACACGGGCATACTTCACCTTGCTGTACCTTCAACATTTGCCTTAACATTGATTTGGGGGTATTTTGAAATAAAAGCATGTGCTCAAAAGAGGAGCTTGCTGATACGTCCCTAGGCCAAGGACCATTCCAGTCTTGTTGGGAAAAAAATAATACCAACTTTAAACTAAACATTAAAATAAGAACATTACATGCATAGTTGTGCTTTACTATCCGCAAGTATGATTTTCCAAAGCATTTTCCAAAACAGAAACATTCACAGATGCACTAGGATTAATGGAAACTTCTGTAAGTGGGAACCCTGAGGTGGGACTTGATGTGCACAAACATTTCCAAGCCAGTTACCCCTTTGCATATTTTTCTGAGGGGGCATCCATAAGTATAATAAAAAACAGAAGCTCATACTTACATCCTATTCCATGTTACTTTCCAAGCTGTGAGTTTCATCTTGCATTAGTCACCATATGATCTCTATCATAATGGTGGGGGTCAATGAATAGATTAGCTTTATGGGAATTTACAGTTCTTCCATGCATCTAAAGTTTGGTAAGTCTGGTAACCACTGACCTAGTTTTAATCTTCCCCCACTCTTAACTTAGAACTATTAAAATAAAAGACTTAAATTTAATTCAAGTTTCAACTCTTCATAAAATCTTGGATTATGTTACAAATCTACCTACAGAAACACACTCAAGTGTATGTCTTATACTGCAGCCCCGTTTAGCCTTTAGTTATAAATATCTTGACTTAATGTATGTGTAGAAACTTAAGTTGCCTTTATTCATGTTAAAGTGAGAAGACTGCAAAATACTCAGTAGCAATCAAAGTCTTAGCATAAAGATGTCAAGGGCCACTTTAACGTGGTAGTTGTCTCTTTTTGACTTGTAAAGAAAGAACTATGTATATTAAACCTAATATAAACATCATTTTAAGTGATATTGCAATGTAATGCTACATTTTATAATAGTGGTTTTTTGGATTTTGAAAAAGCCTAATTTGTATCAAGTGCAAAAACAAGAATACTACCTTGTGTGTGTCTCTGAATTTACTGATCTCTCTTGATATCAGGTCTCTTTTGTCTTCCTCCATTTCTATAGCATTTATATCCTCCTAAAAAACAAGGGGGACAGGAGGAAAAGTATTAAAAGCCATCTGTACAGACATAAGAGAACAAGAGAAAAGCTGAAGGTTAGAAGTTTTCAACCAGTCTTGCAAGAGATAAATAAAGTCCTTCTGCAGTACCAAACCTGACAGTCTGATGTTAATGAGTGAAAAAAAAAAAAAAATCAGATGGACAAGAGTCACAAATCTGGCAACTAGCAGTAAACATAGTCATTGTCAAAGCCTACAATGTAAACGAACCTTGGTGATGAGTGGATAAGGTATCAGTGGGGCCACTGGAAATCTGCGGAAAATCTGCGGAAAAATCCACGGAGATTTTTTTTTTTAAAAATAGATTGCACACTACTCTGAAAAACAATGTTTTGTATGTTTGTACTATAAAGCAATATTGCATTGCTGTGATCTCATTTCTTTGATTCAACAAAATTACAGAAGAACCTCGCTAATTCTCCCTTCTCTGAACTACTTGAAATACATAGTGAGGTCTCATATTAGTAAGACTTCACTGAATTACAAGTATACTACAGGATATTAGTACGCTATGGTAGCATCATAAACAAGACTAAGCTACACTTGCCAATATAAACGATCAGTATATTTGCAGTGGGTATGTCTTTATTTTATTTACTCGCTAATTCGCAAAATTTGGTAGATTGCACCTACTAACTAATAGTTAGCGCGAATTAGCGAGGTTCCCCCATGCTTGAAATTGAAAACCAGATTCCACTCACTCTCAGTTCCCCGCACACATTTTCAATTCCCCCACATCAGTCATGCCTTCATCCAGAAGAACTAACAACAGACTCTGCTGCTAACACCAGCAGGAGTCGTCTTCACACCAATCCCTTCAGGGGACAACAGCCCCAAAGCTGGCAAGTTTCCCCGCCACCTCCCCCCGCCAGAAATCTGCATCCAACTTCCCTTTCCCCCCGCCCTCCACAGTCCTCCTCTCCCCTCTCCTTTAAGGACTAGACAGCAACAAGCTAGGACCATCTCTTCACTCCCACCTCTATCCACATAGGCCAAAGATGGCAGCTTCCAAGTTTCTTTTCCTCCTTCCCAGTATGGAAGGGATGATGTGGTGTAATTTCAACCCACAAGTGCTGTGTATTTAAGAAGAGCTTATTTGCCTACTTGACTAGCTCTGATCGAATTCTGCATTATACAGAGCTAGCAGAATATCCCTCTGTCCCAGGGACATACTTAGCACCCAGCTCTTCCAAGACTGCAATGGTCTCTTACAATGTTTAACTACCTGGCATTATTCATGGCCATATATGTATATATGTACCCACAGGACAATACACATTGCAACAAAGCTTGTGACAAAAAATTACAGCTGATAGAATTAGACAGTGACTCGTTTGTAAATTCTCATCCAAGAAGGCATCTTCTCCCAAAGGAAAGGAGAGGAAAGAAAAACAAATTCTCAGCTCAGCACTCTTATACCTCAGGTCAGCCACAGCTAACAATGTTGTGGGGAAGATATACTTGCTCCCTGAGGGAGATACTTCTTGCACCACACTTAAACCCCATAAGCATTTGAAACTGCATTATTGCCTTAGAATAGGTACTTTGCAGAAGACATAAGTGGGTAAAAATGTTGGTCAAACAATTTTCCAATCTCTTATATTAGGTGCAGAATAGTAGGTGTGAAAGCCCGTTTTCCCATGGTTAGAAACTTGGCTGGAAAAGCTAAGTCTGAGTTTGCTCATTCTTATTCCCCCTTCTCCAGTTTGTTTTATTCCATAAAAAGGTCATCCACAGAAGCAGGTCTAAACCAGAACATTCATTCCTTTTTTTTTTTCCTGCTTAACAGGGTTTTTTTTGCATTACACAGTATATAAAAAACAGCTGATCAAATACAGCCAAATTGACACATGCGTGTAAAAGTGATTTTGTAAGGCAGGAAGATTACAATATGCCTTTCATCCCTGAAGGATCTTTCCAAGGTTTGTGAGGTAGACATATAAACAACTAATGAAGTGCTTCCACATCTGGAGAGACAGCTGCAACCAGTTGTATCAAGGCACACTACAAGAACGCACACTATAAGCGGAGAGAAGAAAAATTTTGTCAAAAACTACCAGAGCAAATTCCTGCCATTACAAAAACGCCCTGGTGTCCTTCAATGGAAGTAAGACGATATGCAGGAACTCTTTACAGTTGTTTTTTAAGTTCTCATCTGAAAAAAACCTACATGCACATACAGATCAAACTGCACTAAATTCAGTATTTCCACCTAGAGAGGGATGAAAGGTCAGTTCAATCCTGCCCAGATTCAAACCTGTTCTTCCAAGAAGTCTAGGTGCTTAGATGCCTAAACCATCCTCAAGGGATGGTGTCTATAACTGACTAGCTTTCAGCTTCAAAAAATGAAACTGCTGCTGAAATCAGTGCTTGTTGATTTGTTTTCTCATCAGAAGTTTAGGTTTAAAGTATTTGTACAAGGTTTGGCCATTATATAAAGGTGAGTTGAAGAAAAATCTGTTTTGTCCAAAATCAAAACACATACGTCCTCCTTCTTTTCCTTTTTCTTCTTCCTGGGGTGAGAGTCAGATTCCTGGGAAGGGGCATTGAGCTCGCTGGAATATTCTCGTATTAAGACTTCAATGGCCCCTTTAATTATCTGATCTCTTCTCTTCGTTTCCTCATCCAATGCTTCATCGTCATCAGTTGTCGTCTCTGGTCTGGAGTTCTAAGGAGAAATGGCAAAGTAACAGGAATCAACAAATTGAGAACAATATTAGTTTTATTTCAGAAGTTCACCTTTGATCATCTCATTCATGCCCTGACAGCATTTACTAAAAACAAAAAAACCCAAACAAACAAAAAAAACCCACAAACAAAAACACCACAAGCAAAGAAACCCTCAAAAAAACCCAAACCACCTACAAGTAGTTATCAATTGCATTATTTTAGTCAGACCTTGTCACACTGGCAATACCATAGGGACCACATAGTTTTACATGTGAACGGCTGCAGAGAGCAAGTGTAAGACAGCATAATAAAATAGAACAGATAAATGGTGATTAAGGTGGTAGACAGGAAAAGAGAAAGCGCACACATGCTCAGAGAAAGGCAATCGCCATAGTCCAGCTCTTGGCCAAAAAAGCTTCTTCCTTGTATCCTCCAGACCTTCAAGTCATTTCAACAGCAGTTCCTCAAAGCCTTCTACTTAAGTGCCATGCAACACAAACGTCTACCTATAACTTTCAGGCTGCAACTTATAATGGAAGAACTATATTAAAGAAACATTCCTAGGGAAAACATTCCTTGCATAGCAAACATTTTCTTATTATTGTTGATCAATTACTTTGAATTCCTCATCTTTTTGCCCCTTTTCACCTCGTATAAAGGAAAGGGAACACACACGAAGAAGTGCATTTCACTGAATGTTACACGAAAGGGTAGAACAATGAACTGCAGACTGAGCAAGGTAGCCCATCTCTTGATCCCCTGAATCGTTTAGAAAAATGGAATCTCACCTGAGAATCCAGCTGGGTATCCCGTCAAGCGATAGGTGGTGGGTGGAGTGAGGGGGAGGGAAGGGTCTGATGGATCAGCAGCTAAGAATGAGGGGGAAGGGAGGATTCAGTTGGAGCTGAAGAGGCTGCCAGGCCAAGGAGGAGCAGGCTGCAAAGAGCTAGAAGGCAGTGACAGGGAGTGGAATTGAAGAGGTCCAGGGAGAAGTAGGGATCACGGAGAGGAGCTAATTAGACAAAGGTTTGCTTGGTGTGTCTTTATAAGAAATTGTGCTGTACTGTACAAGTTTGATTTCTTAATAAAAAAGATTAAAGAAAAAAGTTGCAACTTTTGGATCTGAGTGGCACAAGCACACCAATGATGGTATGAAAGGAATCGTAAGCAGTAAGATTACAATATGCTTCATCAATATTCCTCAGCAATTCACAGCCTTTCTTTGCACCACGTCAAACCAAAAAAAAAAAAAAAACCACCAAAAAAACCCCACCAAAAAATAAACAAACCAACCCAAACATTTGGAGCTAATCTCAATCTATAGTTCAACAGAATCAGCACATACTCTTGTCTTCCAAACAAAAGCCACAAACAGCACCCTCTGCTGTACTACGATCAATCCCCCAGGATTGATTGTAACCCACAGGAGCTCACAGAAAATAAAATTCATGAGAGAGATGTACAAGAACTCCACTGATACTTTAAGCTTGTTTACAATATCAGCTGCGAAGCACAGTATTACAGGTGATGCCAACAGGAAACAAGGAAGTATGGAATGGAAGGGGCAGTCAAATCAAACCCTTACTTAGGTTAACAGCTAGTACACTACTCTATTCAAAACCCATGAAGATAGCACTCTGTTTCACTGAGCCATTGCATTTAATCCCGTACACAGTAAAAACATGCAGAGTACTTCAAGGCATCATTATGCCTCTAGTTCTGGTTAAATAAAATGAAATAAATATACTTGTGTTCCCAAAGTATTTTACATACCTTTAAGAACAATTCCAAATTTGAATTTAAAAAAATACCTGCTACAATGTGATTAGTACTTTTAGTTTTCTGAACAAGACCCTCTTTCTCACTTTAAGTGTTTTAAGTACTATCTTAAGTCATACGCAGAACTTTAAAATAGCTAGAGACCAAGCCCAACAACTTGATTGTGATGTGAAATATATTATTTTAGGAAAGAAATAGATAAAATTAATTTTAACACAGATTTGTCAGTTAAGTATCTTTATATCTCACAAGAATTCAACACATTGGCTATCCGGAATTATTCGAGAACAAATCCTTAGCTCTAGAAAGGAATGGTACAAAACCAATTTCCCCATTTACTATATGCCTCTAAACTGCCCACTGCCTGATAACTGCATCATCTACTGAATGATCTATTTCTTTCCTTCTCATTAATTTGTTCTAGATCATCATCAGTGGAGGCGAAAGAATCCAATTCTCCTCAGACAGCTGATTTACTGACTCTGACGGAGTAACAATTACTTCTAGAGTTCATATACTTTCAAGAGTTTCTAAACATAAATGAAGCAACAGAATCATAAGGCATAGCACATATAACTACACTTTAGAATGATTTTCAGAATTCATTCTAGAGATTCAGTTGTAGCTTACAGATAAGTTTGAACGCTGCTGAATTAAGAGCTTACACTTTGTTGCCTTTCAATATATCTTCAGATTCATTAACGTGATTCTGGCAAAATTCTAAAATGAATTAAGGGCAGAGCCAAAAATCGAAGCTAACAGACATACTCACAATCTGATCTAGCAAGTATGTTCCATTGCGCTCCTGCCAAAATAACACAAGTCACACATTATATACGTACCCCATTAGAAGCCTTTTTCTTTGCTTTCCATTCATCTAGCTGAGCCTTTGTCTTTGCATCAACTTTGACTAGCAGCTTCTTCTCTCCAATCTGGAGGTCATGGAGTAGTCTCAGGGCTCGTAGCGTGGATTCTGGTTCTTTGTACTCACAAAATCCAAAGGCTGAAACGGATGATTGAAATGAAAAGTGTTACAGCTATTTGAGTAATTTACTGTGTGTTAAAAAAAAAAAAAAAAAAGCGTTCTGAATGAATAAACTTGGAACACAGGCACTTTTTTTAAAACCAGGAGTACACATCATAAAAAGTCAGAAAGATCATTCACTGCATTAGTCTTCAATATAACTAAAAGCCCAGTGAATAATGTCAAAGAAATACACACGTGGATGCCCCATCCCTGGAAACATTCAAGGTCAGGTTGGACGGGGCTCTGAGCAACCTGATCTAGTTGAAGATGTCCCTACTCATTGCAGTGGGGGTGGACTAGGTGACCTTTAAAGGTCCCTTCCAACCCAAACTATTCTATGATTCCATGAACGTGTTTGTAAAGCTTTTGACATGCCTGTCTTAACTAAGGAATGCAGTCTATATGAAGACATGTCTCAGGTGGATTTGCAATTGTCTAAAGACCAAAGACATCAATCATAGAATCGTTATGGCTGGAAAAGATCTTTAAGATCATCAAGTCTAACCATTATCTAACTCTCCCAGGCCCTCTTCTAAACCATGTCCCTGAGCACCATATCTAGATGGCTTTTAAATACATCAAAGGATGACGATTCAACTGCTTCCCTGGGCAGGCTGTTCCAGTCTTTGAACCTTTCAGTGTACAAGTTTTTCCTAATATCTAACCTAAACCTCCCCTGGCGCAACTTGACGCCATTTCCATTTATCCTATCGGTTGTAACTTGTAAGACATCAATAACGCTCACCACTCTACAACCTCCTAGTTGTAGAGTGCAATAAAGTTTCCCCTCAGCCTCCTTTTCTCCAGGCTAGACAACCCCAAGTCCCTCAGCCACTCCTCATAAGACTTATTCTCAGGACCCTCCACCAGCTTCGTTGCCCTTCTCTGGACCCTCTCCGGCACCTCAACGCCTTCTTATACTGTGGTGCCCAAAACTGAACACAGTACTCAAGGTGCAGCCTCACCAGTGCCGAGTACAGTGGGAAAATCACTTCTCCAGCCCTGCTCGCTGCACTATTCCTGATGCAGGCCAGGATGCCACTGGCCTTCCTGGCCACCTGGCCTTACTGCTGACTTATGTTCAGCCAGCTGTCAGTCAACCCCTCAGGTCCTTTTCTGCAGGGCAGCTTTCCAGCCACTCTTGCCAAAGCCTGTAGCACTGCATGGGGTTGTTGTGGCCCAAGTGCAGAACTCGGCACTTGGTGTTGTTGAAGCTCATTCTGTTGGCCTCAGCCCATTGATCCAGCCTGTCCAGGTCCCTCTGAAGAGCCCTCTTACCCTCAAGCAGATCAACACTCCCACCTAATTTGGTGTCATCTGCAAACTTACAGAGGGAGCTCTCAATCCCCTCGTTGAGATCACTAATAAAGAGATTAAACAGGAGTGGCCCCAACCCTGAGCCCTGTGGAACACCACTAGTGACCGGCCACCAACTGGATTTAACACCATTCACCACCACTCTCTGGGCCCGACTATCCAGCCAGTGATTGATCCAGCAGTGTATGCCTGCCCAAGCCTTCAGTAGCCAGTTTTCTCATGAGAACGCTGTGGGGAACAGTATCAAAGGCTTTACTGAAGTCCAGGTAAATAACATCCACAGCCTTTCCCTCATCCACCAAGCAGGTCACCTTGTCATAGAAGGAGATCAGGTTTATTAAGCAGGACCTGCCCTTCATGCACCCATGTTGACTGGGCCTGATTGTCTGGTTGTCCTGTAAACAGTATGTAATGGCACCAAAATGATCTGCTCCATAAGCTTCCCCAGCACCAAGGTCAGACTGACAGGTCTGTAGCTCCCCACGTCCTCCTTCTGGCGTTTCTTGTAGACTGGCGTCACATCTGCTAATCACCAGTCCATTGGGACCTCCCTGGTTAGCCAGGACTGCTGATAAATTATGAAGAGTGGTCTCATGAGTGCATCCACCAACACTTTCAGCACTCTTGGGTGTAACAAATCTGGCCCCACAGATTTGTGTATGTCTAGGTGGTGCAGCAGGTCACTAACTATCCTCTTGGATTATGGAGGTCTCATTCTGGTTCCCATCCGTGCAAATACATCCCTTTGGCGGCTAAGTCCAAACTGGTAAGCCTTTCTCATGGATAGTCTATAAACAACTGATTCAGCCTCAGAACAGAAAGGTGAGCAAAATTAGGCCCCCAGGTTATTTTACCCTTTCAACTTTCTCAATTCTGTTGTTCTTGTTCTGTCTTGAGTACAAGGACAGAAAACACTAGCCCTTTACTAGGATGTATTTATCAGTTAAGTATCATATACAATATCTCAAAATTTACAAGTGTTAAGAAGAGCAATGTTAGACATTTGACAAGCTGCCAGGTAATAAAACCAAAAGTCTGATTAGAGATTTTGACAAGCATGAACAATTACCTTGAAGTTTTCCAGATGCCCCTTGTACTCTCTTCCAACTCAAAACCAAGCCACATTTCTGCATTAAAGATAAGTATTATTAATTAAATATTATGTTCAAAACATTACAAAAACTTAACCACTTTTTGCAAATGGTGACATGTAAAAAGGGTAAACACTACTAAAAATAAAATATGTCTATGTTCACCAGCATGTACAGCTTTAAAAAGCTCTCTTCTGACTTTAAACTCAAGTGTAATGGACTGGTATTCCAGTGAGTGGGACTAACTCTGCTTTTAGTTTCAATCCACTGCTTGTGCGTCATTACTTCATTCATCAGACAGGAAAAAAACATAATGTAACAAGCAGTCCACTGTACTTACTGCTAGAAGCTGCCGTATGAGCATGTCCGAGGCCTTCTCAGAAATGTTGCCTACAAAAACGGTGGTAGTGGGACCGCTGTTTTCATCGTTTTCTTTGTTCTTTAAGCCAGGGTGTTCTTTTCTGGCTCCCAAATGTTTTCCAACCATAGACACTGTGGTAGGAACTAATACCTAAAAAGAGAAGCAGAGAGTGTAAAAAAGAGTGTTGGGTTGTGGTTTGTTTTTTTTATTTTATTTAAATCCACAAGACGAAAGAGTTGGGGATGCACATGTATTTGAAAATTAAATTCTAATACAAACCTTAGTTAGGCTTACGGAGTGAGACACTATTAAGTAGTTCAGGCTTTAACACTTTATACAACATAAAAAAGACTGCCCTTTTCTGGCACAGGCAGGGGAGAGAAAAAAAAAAAAGTGTACCTGAACATGGCTACTGGAAGGTCTCAAGGTGAGCATACAGTAACATTAGGTATTATTTCTTCTACAAATAATTAATTTGCAACATTTGAGTCACTGGATGTTGAAGTACCTTACCTAACAGTGTAAAAAGCAAGCTCCAAATAGAAAAGTAACTCTGACTCAAAAGGTAGACACATGACAGGTCTTAAAGCTTTCAGAGTGAATAAACACTACTGCTTTACTTAATCAATACACAACCCAAAGCCTCTTTGGGCTAAGAAACAAACATTTGCAAAATAAACCATACAGAGATAGACATGACCATCTGTTACATTTTGCTGCGCCTCCTTCCTTCCACCTAAGATCTAATAGTACATATGCACTGAATCCTTCTTTTCAAAGTACCCTTCTAGAAGTGTCACTTAATAAAAATTAGTTCAATCAGAAAACCGAATAATGCATTTGTTCCAGTATCTTTGTCTTACACACATCAGGTACTATGAACATAGCCTCCTGTAACAGATAATACAAGCTAAAATTCAGTATTTTTGTGAGATTTCACTTATGCAAAATCACATAAATGGTAGTTCACCTTGAAGCCAAGGAGTAACCTTTATATTTTAAATAGCCCCATAAATCATAAACCTTCCTTCCAACTAGAAATTAGCAAAACAAAGAGACCTTTCTCTCATATGCTCTTCCATAGATAAATATTACATGCAACTATTCCTTGCCTGCAACATGGGGAAAGAGAGCTTGTTTGTAACCTTGTCAATGCACATCTTTCTGGCCAACTCAGCAGTGCTGCATGATGGCCTTATAAACATGGATGACGTGATGCTCCAGAGCACTCTGTCAGGCCAAAAAACTCAGAAGCAAGAGACCTGGAATCTAACTGATCTAACTGTACTGCACAGGAAGGCCACGCATGACCCAAACGTAAAGCCAAAATCATTGTATTTGACAGCAGTACATCTTCTGGCAATACCAGTAATTGCTTCACCTTTGCAGATAACAGCTCCAGACAATACTTCAAACTTTGTCTAGGTCAGAAATTAGCATATTTGCATCACAGTTGCATGTAAAGTGAAGCATTTCCTTTCATAGTATGAATTCTGATGGAATAGACCAAAACAAAAATACTATTGATATATACTAGGTTTTACTCTCCATTTTATTTTGCTACCATCTCATCCTCACTGTAATACTTACAGTTGGAGCAGGAGCCATAATGCCCATTGGTACAGGAATCATAGGGGTCCCTGAGAAAGACAATACATTAATATTAATCTGCCCTGTGGAGATTACTGATGAATACAAATTATCTGATCACAGACACGATTTCCAAACCAGACAGCAATTTTGGTCAAATAAGAATTTCACGGAACTGATTACCAGTAATTCCTTAAGCATTCAAGCATAGGCTGAGTATAGCAACATCACGTGCATCCTAGTCACTTTTATCATATTACCACTTCAACTTTGTTCATCACAAATCTATTTTCAAGGCACATTCAAACCACAGTATTGCTCTAGAAGACAGTCATGTACTGAATGAGGCAGAGAATTCCATAAATAAAGTTCAAAAGCAGCTGAAGTCCTACAGATGATAACCTCATTCCTGACTTGCTTAATTCTCACAGCACAATTGATTCTGTATACAGCTTAGGAATGAGGTCCTATAGAGAATGCTACCAGGCTTCGTGCTACTAGTTATGGAATAGCTTAATAAGGGCGTCATACAACACCTCAATCCAGAAGCTCCCTACCTGCTGAATACTTGACTTGGCAGTCTCTATAAACTCAATTTAAAACAATATTTAATCAGGTGAAACCATGCAATACCCTCTTTCCCACTACTAAATTCACTGGCAGTTTTAAGTATGCGAGCCAGTATCTGATCATAATAAAGTCTGTTTATCTTTCCATGCCAGCTGTTAGAGGAAGTTAAAGATATTAAGTGAATGGATTTCAGGAGTATTTGCTGGCCAATAAAGACATTGAGACTCAAGAACAATTAAGTCAATCTCACGTTTTTCAGGGAAATAGTCTCTAGGGATCCTAGATTTCTTTTTTCATTCTACAAGAACCTTTCTTCATCTTTCATTCTCAAATGGTGCCTTTTGTCCCTTCCCTTCATCTCTTACGGCTGTATTCATAAAATCCTAACCAAACTTCAGCAACCTACTGTTCCTGGACTTGTTCCCCCACTTTCTCCAGTGTTTGTTCCTGAAACGACACTTCTCCTCAGACATCCTCTCCAGCTTTCTCCCGATCCACTCTGGTTTTGCTTTGATTCCATCATTTTTTTTTCTCCATCACTCAGTGCTCTTCCTCAGTCCCTTCATATTAAAGTCACACTACTTCCTATCCCTCCAAACCATTCAGAGAATCAACAGGTGTATTGCTCTCCCATGCTCTCAGTTTTAATGCACCAAGGCATCTCACAGACTGGCGGAACTACTCCAAGACAAGATTCTGGTTATGCAGCCCTCTAACTATTATAACTATAATTATCATAATGTTGAACTTTGCTTTTAAAGTTACAACTCGGCAAAGATATTTGTGTTATCACTGACAGTTCTCTCAAACTCCACTAAAATGTTGGGCATCATCAGCAAACATATTGATGATCATGACCACAGGCATCATCACAGCTGCTATACAAAATTGTGGTGCGCCTATACCTTGAATACTGCCTACTGACCTGGTCTCTGCAACCCAAGAACAACTTGCAGCCTTAGATAAGAGCAACTACATGACTTAAGTGTTGAAGCAGCTGCTTTACTGGGAAAGACTCTACACATCTTAGCCTCTTCAAGTGTGGAGGTTTGTAAGGCATGGAAGACAACTGAGGGGTACAAAACCACAAAATGCAACTCGCGCAACTCCCACATCAGAACTGGGGCAGGAGTGGGACACGAAGTAGGCAATGAGTTTAAAGACAGACATAAGAAAGTAGCACTTCACACAGTAGTTAATGAACTTCTCAAATTTAGTGCAAGAGGCAGAATGGAGATGGACAGAATCAGCAGGTTCAAAAAAATATCACAAATGTTCATGAATGACAGGTCCAGAAAAAGAGAAAGGAAAAATGAAAGATCACACTACAGCTGTATGAGGGAACAGACTCAGAAAGCAGATAGGTGTACACGCCCACCCTAAACACCATCTCGTAATCCCACTGCCCAGACAATGCATCAGGCTACATGGACTGCTGGTCTGACCCACTACAGCATTTCTTACAAATTAACGGTAATTTTTTACATCTTAACCATACCAAATAATCTTCAGGCATGACAACAGTTGTAAGAATCACTTCCTTATCAAATATTCCACACTTAGAGATGGAACTGTAATGCTAGAACTTCTTAACAGCCATATTTTTAAGTAAAGCAAACACTTTTCCTAACTTCATTTTTACACAAGCAAACTGTGCTAGCTGAAACTTAAAAAAAAATATAAATTATAGGCTGAGTAAAATAGCTAGAACATGAAATTTTGGGCAAGCAGCTAGCTAAAGATAATATTATAAGCCAGTAAAATTGTCATCTTACATATGGAATAACTTCAGAGTAGACTTTCACAAAGTCACTGTGCCATTTGCAGCATTTTCAACTCTACTGATAGACTTGTGCTAAGAAATGAGAGATCCATTACCTCTACATATCAAAATATGTTATCTGCACAGGTAAGCAAATCATGTTTCCAGCGTGCAGAGAAAAATGTAATTCTTGCCTAATACCAGGCTCCTCCACTCTACGTACTGTTTGGATTACTAATACTGAAACAAGACTATTTAAAGTCGAACACAGCAAGAGAACAGAAAGATCTTTGTCACTCATGTTAAGAAGCAAGTGTTCAGAGCAGAAACTTATATCAAGCATTTAAAAATATTCTTCAGAAAGTTACTTTGAAAAGTATCTAGTGTTTTTCACACTAGTATAGATAAACTGGAGCTAGTAAGAGGTATGGTTTTAAAATTTAACCTGAAATTTTTGATGGCAGAAGGCTATGTGATCAAGAATTCTGCCCTTAACAAAAGCAGATAACATCTCATGGATCTCAGGAAAAAAAAGTTTAGAAAAATTAATGCAAGTAAGGATTAGCCTGATGAACGGATGCGTACAAACCAGTCCTGAGTTCAGCCATCTGGTTTTTGAATGCCTTTATTGTCTGCAAAACACTTGTGCACAACACAGCCTAAGACCATAGAGACAGGAGTTATTTTCTGCAGCCCTTCTGATGAATTTTAAAGGGGTAATTCTCTGAAGTATTGCTATCTCCTACTAGCTCTGTGGTCTCCTGCCTCCAGTCACTGTTATCTATACTGGCAATGTACAGAAAGAAGGTGGTTCCAGACAAACAAATTAAAAGTCTCAACACAAAAAACAGAGGCTGAGCTTACAGATGAACAAAGAAAAAAGGTGGGATTAATTTTGGGAAGATTAGAGGGAATGGGAAATGTAACAGTAAGTTTGCAAGATATGCGGGAGGAAAGTATGTAAGAAACAGAATAAAAGAAAGTAGGATTTATAAAAATGTGGAGAAAAACAATGCAAGAAGATGGACCTTCTCTGAAAGTTACTCCTATATTTTCACATCACACGTACTTACTGTACCCAAGTGTTTCCAAAGGCCATTACAATGGCTTATTTGAAAGGAATTTAAAATCATAGTCTACTGTCAAAACAGCGGCTCTTAGAATACCTAATGTTAACAAAAATCACTACCTAGCTTCAGTCTTGAAAAAAAGGTCCAAGACAAAGTCTGGTATTGTCTCTAATGGTTTGATTTCTGGTCAGAAGTAAGCAGCTTTTGGTACACCAAAATAAGCTTGCTCACATGACATGATCTGTGAGTAAACTAGAAACTCAGTTGCAATGTACACCAACCAGAGTTACTGAAATATGCTAAGAGCCAGTAGCTTTTGTAATTAATACAATTCAGAATAATATAAGGTAATTTATTTCTACAACACTTCCATATACTAACATAACTTACCAGGAGGTACAGGTGGAGGAAAGCCAGGAAACTGTGGAGGTGGGATCCCGGGGGGAAGCGTTGGGATTCCCATAGGAGGGCGATTCAAATGCGGTGGAAAAGACATTCTTCCAGTCACAATCTGTCAAAAAGATAGAAAAGGAAACTTACACCAGTCAGTTCCCAAACATGAATTACAGAAGCAGGGCAAATGGTAAGTGTCCATAATGTTTTAAAATCTTTATATGGACATTCAACTACAAAGTAAACTATTTTGAACTTTTCCCCTGCTATTCATTAAGTCACAAATGTAGTAGAAGTCTTCTTCTAGCAAACAGAAACTCCTAGGAAAACAGCAAAACATCACTCCTAGGAAAGTGCCTCAGAATGAAGTGAAAAACAAAACTATATCTGACTCCTCATACCAATGGTTTACAAGGAGCATGAATTAAACAGCATTTAACAATTTGCATAGTTTCTTTAAAATAAAGCAATCTTTTGCAGTATCTGAACACAAAAAGTAATATTGTAATACATTTCCAATAAAACAAGCAATTCTCTTTTACAAGAAATGATCACACACACACAATACAATTGTGGAACAAGATGACAGAATCAGGATATCCTGATGCTCAGCATTGACAGAAACTGTATTTAAACGACATTGGGGAGATCCCCAAATTCAGCACATAGACAGTTAAAAGCTTGGAAGAGGGTTCTCTGATCTATTTTTAACTTCCCAGTTCACACATCTCCTAGAGCTCAATTTGGACAATAGGCCATGAGCTGAGAGTCAATATGCTACCATGGAGAGCAAAGATTGTTTTAGCAGTATTTGCTATTCAGGTGGTTGTTATTATTATGTGCATGTTACTGACCCTTTAACAAACACCACCCTATAATAAAAAACCCTCAAGATCTCTCTTAACACAACTAATGAGGCATGCATTCTTGCTTCCAGTATTATCTCAGCATGGTCAAGTCTTCAAAAAAGCTTGGCCCTCAGTTCTAAAAAAAAAAAAGCCTCAAAAGTGGTCAGCAGTATTAGTGCTGAGTGTATAGGTACATTCATACCGCCGTGAGGAAGTACTAGAGGAACTTCAAACACACTGGACTATATGGATATGAATCACAAAGACACTGTATGACAAGTGACAAGAGTCCAGTTAGGTGCCTGCGCAAACACCTGCGTTCCTCAATGGACTGTGTAGACTGCTTTACAACCTACAGTACCGTATCTTCACTGCAACTGTTTTCCAAACAGGCAATCATGAATCAAAACCGAAGCAGGCAGCCTTAAGAAAAAGTGTTACGATAAGCAAAATTCTGATATGTACAACAGACCTGTGGATTACAAGATGCTTTCCCCAGCTTCCTAGCATGGAACACACAAGAAACAGGACATGAGCTTCACTGGAGACAGATATGCCTTCCATACATGTACAAGAGCAAGTAGTCAATGACAGTATTAAATAAATACTAGAAGTGAGAGCTAATATCAGTACTCTACCATAACAGTAGATAAATTTGAAAGAGCTAAAAAATTATAATAAGAGAATTATGTAACACAACTTTATTTCCATAGAACCTGGAAAAAACTATGAGATAAATGTACATTGTGAACTGGAGAGGATGAAAGGGAAACCCAAATGTATTTAGTAATACCTTTGAGTATCAGAACTTACTTACTCTGGTATATGACCTTATAGCATAATTCACCCAAAGACACATTTACAAATACATCAATTACAAGAGGTTCGTGACAATGGCATTTATTGATTGGCCCCAAAGGGCATTCATCAACATCTCACCAGGAGAAAAGATAAACACTCCTGTGACACAAGGTCTAAGATGGTAGAAGAAACAAGACAGTAAATGCAAGCATTCCTCAACAGTTCAATAAATATTATTTTGTACAATATAATAAACAACTACCCCCCTTCCCCTTTAGAATCCATATGCCTAAGAACACACTTCCTTTCTGCCATTCTGGAATTTTTAAAACCTAACGGGCAAAGAAAAGCAGCAAAGGTGTACTGCCAAAATATTTTATTCGGAAGATGACCATTTATTGTCTTTCCAGACTATGTGCACATCAGATGACATTCTTCTAGAATCTGAAACTTGTATGGTATGAAAGGGAACAGAACTCCCTTATCTACCTTGATATCACTATTTGAAACTTTTTCACCAGAAAACCAGATAAGGGTCCCCAGAAAGGCAGAAAATTAAGACATTTAAGGCTCAGAGTACTTATCTATATTGCAAGCTGATAGATAACTGGACAAAATTCAAAGCTGTTTTGGGGCAGGATGGTACAGCATTAAGCTATTGGGTCTGAGATGGTTCTAAAGAAGCTGCAATAGAGTTACACCACTTGAGGTCCACAAGACATTAAGGAGTGGTCTGTTAAACAAAAAAGAACAATTGGGGAGGTAATTTTCCAGGCTGCCTGTAGGTGCAGTCCCTTCTCTCACTCTGATAAGCGCTTTATCTGAGACACCATTTTGGAAGCCTAGGGACTAAGAGGTGAAACGGTTCTTTGAATTAAGATGCTGAAACATACCATACTCAATGGACATTCCATACACACAGAGGCAAAGTGTTTTTGGGGTTTGGGTGGTTGGTTTTTCGGGGTTTTTTTTTTTTTAATTTAAATAAAAACCGAAGCTTTAGCAGTGATGAAGTAATTGTTATTGCATAAAAGGAACAAGACAGTAGGAATGGATCAAATTTAGTCGTTCAATCTTCTAGTCCAGATGGATGTGAAACACATTGTTACCTGTAGGGCTTCAACAATCCATTTTACTTGAAGCACTCTGTTCTTATTTTTTCCTTATTTGTACACTTATTTGCACAGCACCTAGAAAGCTCCCTGTTACTGACTTAATTCTGGCATGGACCAATCCTAGCACCTCTGCCGTCTGTGACACTGAAGATCAACACTAGAATTAAAGAAAGCCTTGGACTCTTTCTCATTACTATATGTAACTACCAATATGAAACCGGCAGAGATGAGTTGAATTCTGTTTCCGTTACGAAAACGGTGAGCATCAACATATACTAAAATTGAAACTGGTCACTGGAGAAGTGAGAGATCTGGACGAGAGAGGAAAATGCATCCAGTAACTTGCAGCAGCCAAGATGCAAAACCGAAGGGAACTGCGTAGCACGTTTTCTTCTACCAGCAGCTAGAGAACACATAAGAAACATACATACTCTTCCAACAGTCAGACAGGCCTCTGACATCAAATTTACAAGCAACTACAAACAAAGGGTTAGGTATGGAAAGTTAAAAGATACAGATGCTACACTGGATCTAGGCAGAATACGCTTGTAGAAATCTCAGGAACAGTATCTTGACCTTCTCTGCAGACTGTCCCGCTACCCTGCCAGTACAGTTGAGTGATCAGTGTCTAATATATTTACTGTGGTCTCAGTATTGTATACAGCAACCTTCAAATTTCCCCAATATACTCAAATGTGTAAGTAAGGAACTAAACAGTCCTCATATATTTTTAAAACCTCAGCTGACTTACGGAAGTATTACCTCAAGTGAAATTGGATGCAAGCAGCATCCTCGACAACTGCATTTTTAACTAGCAGCTCTTTAAGCGAAAGATTAATCTGTGTGAATGTTACAGTGGTCACAAAGATACAGGGGGGTAAGAAAAGCAGTGAGCATCTGGCCTGACGCCATTCAAAATACAGAAATAATGACATCTTCAGCCCCCAAAATGATGGATTTGTGTCAGATCTCTGACTCAAAGTGTTGTCAATTTAGACTACATCTGTGCCAGCAAGCAGAGCAGTGCAACAGTAACAGGTCTGTTAAAACAGATGGAGCTGAGACCCCACACTACACATTTTGGGGAGGTCCACCCTACTGGAACACATGCCCATTTGCAGGTAAGAGTGTATTTTTCAATATACTTTCATCCAAACAGAATCCAGTTCACCCACAAGCATAGTACAAACCAATGTGAAAAAAAGGTTTCCCAAGTGAGGATGACTGTGAGACTTCCTTCAAAAGCACATTCCTGATCCAAGTTAACACAGTAATGTACATGCACACTTTATTAGCCCTGGGCAATTTTTGTAAGCTGCAGATTAATGATGTCATGGACGGCAAAACATCTAAGCTTACTCTAAGCAGACCCAGCTCAAACCCAGCTTGAGCTATTAACGAAAGCAACTGCTACAAAAACACAGCTATAATATTCCAGGTTCAACTTTGGCCTAGAAGGAGTTCAGTTGCTTTCATACACTGCTATTCTGGGTTAATAAGTCCTGGTGGAACCAAACGCCATGCAGAGTCAGCTGCACCAATCTTCTGAAACTTGGAGAGAGTACAGGAACACCCATATGTCTCTAAGGTTTGGTAAAATCCACTGAGACTTGTTAATTCTGACTCGGTGCTATCCCTGCTGGGCCGGAGCCCCGAGAAACATGCTAGCTCTGACACACAACTAAACAAGTGCACAGAGCTGAACTGAGGACATGCTGGACTCAAGTGTCTGAGACCACACAGAATGCAGAATTACTATGAAACAAGGGTCACCATCATTCAGACATTGCTGCCCCATGCTTCTTTATTACCTCTGACTCCCAAAAGTCCCAATAAGAGGGGACTGACTATATGAGAAGATTGTACTGGTCTGCCTGAACTATTAATGTATTTTGTAAAAAATTGTAGTGTTCTTTAAATTATTTTTTACTATATTTTTTAATAAAGGTATGAAGAGATAAGTCATAAACAGAATGTAAAAAATCACTGGTAACTAATGTATTTTAAACTGACAATTGTATCACCTACTCATGGTAGCATTCTAATTCTACCAGTGTCACAGGAATAATCTCCTTAGTATCTCTGTGTTTACACATCATAACTTTTCTTTAAAAACCTGCAAAATATTCTAACCATTTTCAAAACAGTTAAGCTCCCCATGAAACAGTTACAATACTTACTGTTGAGTTGCTGTTATACTAAACAAAGCTAAAATTAACTGTAAAAATCCTGAAGTCTTAATGCATAAACAAACAATGTGTTTTAATACATTTAAATACATACATGTAGTGTCATACCAGCAATGACAGTATGGCTGATCTAGCTTGATTTCATTTTGTCTGGTTTT